CCCCAAAACCCCAAAACCCCAAAACCCCATGGTTTTAGTACCCTTTGAAGGTTGATTTCAAATAAATAATATTAAATGCATTCAAATCAAAAAATTTTATTCTGCACGAACGATTTTCGTCATCGCACTTGTACTAATTGATCAAAGTGTCAATTTATGAGACCTTTTGATTTTAATTAAGGACCACATGTCTTTCTGTATAACTTCCTTTACGTCTGTGGCGGGGAATATTTTATTTATAAGGTAATCTGAGAGGTATCTGAGCACGCTATCTCTCTTCTTACCATCAAACGGCTTAGATGGGACATAGTTTTTGAGGATGTTAACCATTTCTTCACAACCCACTCCCACCACGACAATATTTTCAGGTTTGCGGTTTTCAATGTTTTCATTTATAATTAGATTGAGATTTCGTAATTTGATATGCTCTATTAAGGTACTCTTGATACAGTCTTTAGAATATAATTTGAGTGTAAAGAGCTTGCCTTCTAAGTCGCATTATCTCTCAAGATAGTTTAAAATTAGTCTTTATACCATTTCCTCCGATGAAGAAGAATAGACTATTATTTGATAATTTTGATACAAAGTTGTCAAAAATTTAATTGCACCTTTTCTTAGTGAAATGCAAAACTAACATAATATTTAATAAAGTTACAAAAATTTACCTTTACTGAAATGTCATATTGGTTGTTAGCATTAGGGTTCATCTTAGAGCTTATCTCGATATCAGAACGATATTGCTTAGTTTCTCTAATAAAAACCAAGAACTTGTGAATATCTGCAATTATCAATGTCTTCTTCCTTTCAAATACTATAAAATTGTCATTAAAAACCGATAAGTAAAAACAAGGTAAAGTTTTACAGTCAGAGTTTTAAAAGCTTTTTCTTTCGATTAAGTTATTTATAGCCTAACGTTCTTAGTCACTCGAATGTGAACTCCCATCATTATCAAAGCCAAATAGCTCGAATCTGTTGTAAAGTAGCACAACTTTCTCATAGCTGTCAAAAAACAGTTACTTCTCTTTCTCATTTTTAAAGATAAATTTAAGCTCCTAATTTTCAAAAAATAGAGTGTCAGCTCTTACTTCTGAAGCTTATTCTTATTTCTCGCTAATTTCTTCTGGCTTATTATGTTCAGCAAACTTTGGAGTCATAAAATCATATCGGAAATTCTTTGAACTTGAAGAAAGAAAGTTAAACACCTGATCTTGTTGCTAATTATTGGCTTCCTCAATTTATTTAAAATATGGAGTTTACTCGTTGAGCTTCAACTTTAGTTTTTAGCTTGATTTTTTACCTGCTCCAATAGATATAGATTTAACGTCTATTGGATCACTGCAAGATAATTTATCTTCTGAATTATTATCGTCTATTTATTCTAGCATATTTAGCTTATTCTTGGATTAGTAGTCAAAAGAGTACCGATTTCTCATTATATTATTTTATTTGTAGATAGAGTTATTTTCCTCGTAATGATCCTCCTAATTATAGTCGATTTCATATTCAATACCCTTGTCCAACAGATTCATTTTGGATTAAATAGTACCACTGCCTAGAAACTAATATTAGATGGATAATGAATCAAATTACCTTTCCGATCATAATTAATGTCAATTTGACTTCTTCCTCTTGCTAATTAATTTCCTTAATTTTAACAAGATGCATTATTATCCTCTTCTTCTTGCCCTGATAGAAATGTTCGCAGCTTATTCATTTATCCTTCTTCTCAGAGTAGTTAAAATTTCTCTGTTTAGCATTAATTGTTTTACCTATAGCAATTGAAGAAAGCTTTCTAATCTCTATTTGCTTTAAAACTTTGTATGCCTGGTTTTTTCTATTAATCAAAAACAGAGTTGCTTTGATGATCCTCCATAACAAATGAATTAAATTTTCCGTGGTCAGGTGAACTATGCACAGATCCTTTTTAACTTGATAAATGACTCTCCTCTAATAGAATTTTGTATGAATTTTGAAAATAATTACTTGTAAACAAAGTTGGGAGTGATGGTGAATAACATTCATCGATCATTTGCAAATCATTATCTTCAATGTCCCAAGAGTCTTCAATCCCATCTTTATTATTTATGTTAGCTCTAGAAAATTCTTTTTCTTATACCAATTTCAAATCTTATTAATTCAAGACAGGTAAATTAAAATATTCAGCATCATCTTGGGGAGTAATTTGAATGATATGGATTATTTGAGTATCTTTCGAATTAGCACTTTGCCTAAGCCCATTCTCATTCATGTCTAATCAATAGTATTTCACAATGTTAATATATAATCTAACAAGAATATGCCAAGATATTAAAGCTGAATTTTCTAATTTTATAACTAAATCAAATGTCATAACTTTGAAACAGGGGTTTTGGGGTTTTGGGGTTTTGGGG